ACATGGATCCTCCAAAATCCATAACACCTCACCTGCTGATTTCAAAGATGCGGAAATAGATAAAAAGACAAATTAAGATCTCAAAATTGACCAAAAAGATCAATGACCTCAAACAAGCAGATGAATAAAGGACCTGGAGAGCAATGTCAGTAAGATAGTAAAGGAACAAAGCAGGGGGGAAAAGGCACTTTTGACCACGGGAGCAGAGAAAAGAAAAAAACGTTATGGGAAAAATACATGAGTTAAGGACAGATAAGAAAGAGTCCACTACGCCCAACACAGTAAACTAGAAACCCACTAACATCAGTAGAGTAGAAAGGAAGCACAAAAGGTAATCTAGCCAGCTAGTAAAAGAACTTAAACTTACAAAAATAAGTAAACTTTCTTAATTATAACTTAAATTCAAAGAACCTCCAATAGAAATATGCAGATTGGCTGGCTGAATTAAAAATAAGACTCAACTGTCTGTTCTCTCCAAAAAACACATCTCACTGGCAAACACACACACACACACACACACACACACATCAAGGGAAGTCAGCTACCTTAGCAAGCAAATGGAAGCTGAAAACAAGCTGCCATCAATATTCTACTTCTAATAAAGTGGACCCCAAATAAAAATTAATAGAAGAGTTTTAAAAAGGCCCTTGTATACTCATAAAGGAGCAATTCATCACAAAGACATAACAGTTGTTAAATATATATGAAGTGAAGATTGGGGCTCCCAATTTCATTAAAAAGGGTTAGAAGCTCTAGTTACAAAATAGAAGTGAGCTCAATACTCTGTTCTCATCTATCATGCAAACTGAAATCTCAAGAGTTAAACCATACTGTAAGTCAAATGGACTTAATAGATAACTACAGAATAGTCCACTCCATAGACAGATATGTATCTTCTCATCAGCTCATCAGCCCAGGGAATCATCTCTACAAGCAAGTTGACAAATACAATGCAAAGACCTGGAGACTGAACATCACATTCTTAAATGACCAGTAGATCACTGACAAAAGCAGGCAGAAAAATAAAAAAATTCCAAAAATAAGAACCTTTTAGAAATCACTAAAGTTTATAATTATGTCTTTGCATTACAAAAATCAGAGAGATCTCAATAAATACCTAATGATGCATCAGAAGGTTTTACATAAAACAAGTCTACGTCAAAAGTAGTAGATGGAAGAAAGTAATAAAGATTAGGGCAGAAGTTAGTGGAATAGAGACTAAAAGAACAAAACACAAAATCATCCAGACTTGAAAAATGAAGATTGACAAGCCCCTAGCAAACATTACTCTAAGAAGGGAGTGATGAAAACAGACAAAGATCAAGAGATTCTAATACAATGCAGAGAATATAATTTGAAGTCCTAGGGAGTTGGGAAAGTTTTATAAGAAATTGAAAAATCTCTAAGAAATAGATAAATTACTAAACACTTATTTATTATATATACAGTAAGCCTGTATGCCAGAAGAGGGCACCAGATTTCATTATTGATGGTTGGGAGTCATTATGTGGTTGCTGGGAATTGAACTCAGGACCTCTGGAAGAGCAGCCAGTGCTTTTAACCTCTGAGCCATCTCTCCAGCCCCATAGTTTAAATATGTGTAAATGCTGTTTTCATGAATTATGACCTGAGTCAACTTAAAAAGTTATTTTTCATTTTCACTAGTGTATGTTCTCTGTATAGCATACTGGGTCCTCTCAGGACGTTCTCATACAAGGATGCAGCGAACTCTGAGTGGACACTGCCCAGGCCCATCCCTTTCTCAACTCTATTAGTTCTCTTTGCTCCCTGGGCACTTCCACTTCCTTCATGGCTCACACACACACATGATTTTATGATCTGTGTATTATGACAGGACATATTTATCTAGGAACACAAATGAGGGGAACCATGCATGCAGTAGCTTGTCTCTAGGAGACTGGCTTCATTTGTTTAATATGATTGTTCCTGCAAACAACATACCTTTGTTCTTATTTCAGTGACCATTTCATGTGACTGGCTACCACTCAACTTACTACCTTCTGAACATTTATGCAATAGTTTGCATTTTCAAAGGCCTGGGTCATCTTCCTATAAAACCTAAGAACATAGGAACGGAGGAGGCATTCACGTGTGGACTTGAAGCAGGATTCATTTCAAATTCATCTCCTAACGTGAGTCAGGTAAAACATGATCTTCAAAAGCTCCCTGGGCCACCTTCAGTCATCCTACACACACCATCTCTTCCTCCAGTGAAGGAGAAGCCCCAGGACTGCCTGTGCCCACGGAAGACTCTTTCCTAACTCTGTGGAGAGGCCTAAGAACAGAAAAGGTGGGGCCTGAACATGTGCACTGCTGTCTCAGATGGGACATGTGCCTTCCAAACTTGAATTTGAAATAGTAGGCAAAATAGCTCTAAAAAACACAGCAACTTGGAAGAAGCAGTGCAGGAATATGGACAAGTAGTCATATTTTTAACAGAATGTATATATTAAATCCGTGTATACACAAGGCATTCCTTAAGAGCTTTCAAAACTTCATTATTCAGCTTCTTGAGGCCACAGCCTTTGCCACACCTGTCAATCTTGCAGAGTAAACAGATATATTAATGGCTTATTGAGTGAATTAGATTTACCACAGACTATCAAAAATGATTAAGCATTTGTATAACTTAAAAAGATAAAACCACGCTGAACAGGTTATATTTAGGAATATGTATGTATATTCAAATACATCTATGAATGCAATAACAGTTAGCAAAAAAAGAGGTCATGAATTTGAAGGAGCCTGGGAAGGGGTGTGTGGGAGGGCTTGGAGGGAGAAAAGGGAAAAGAGAAAATGCAATTATATTATAACCTGAAAAATAAAATAAAAGAAGCTAACAGTCCAACTCACTTGTTGTAGTCAATGTGGATGACTTGTAAGAGAGAAAAAGGAATACAGTGAACTTTATCTACCATCACAGCAAGGTAGCCCTAAAAGTTTCAGTCGAGACAATAGAAAATGATAGCATTAACTTTCTTAGAAAACGAAAAACAAACTCTCCCAGAACAAAACTATAAAAATGTTACTGCCATAAGACAAAGCACATGAAACATGCACTTCCTGTCAGTGAGAGCTGTCTGAAGCAGGTCAAGTTAACTGCAAACATTTAGTCACAAGTACAATAACATGGCACCAGGCTTGGTTGTCCCAGTATTATAGACAACTTGTACTAGTCATCACCACTGCCAACCTGCTTCTCAACTGCATGGGCTGTTTGGACTTGAATGTGGTCTGGTTAATGAGAAGACCAAATTATAGAGTACCCAATCAACTATAAGCCCTAGGAGATTTGCATTCAAGTTTCATTTTTGGGATCTTTCATTAGTTCCTAAGAAAACCAGGCTATTTTTATAACCCATATATAATAGTGTACTAAAGACACAATTTAAAATGCCATGATGATAACCCTAGTATTTGAGAAGACAGTTATTCAAATCTTAGATGGTCTTTTAATAAAAAACCCAGAGCCAGATATTGGGGTGAAAGCTGAAAGATCAGAGAAGCAGAGGAAGCCACAACCACCACCTGTTTCTTACCTCACCCACTCCATGAATCCTCTGACTGAAATCCTGAGTCTTTACCCAAAAGGGTCTCAGCTGAACTGCTTTAGTTCTTGTTTCCTCAGGCCTTATATACCTTTCTCTGCCCAGCCATGTCACTTCCTGAAATTAAAGGCGTGTGTGTGCTTCCCAGTACTGGGATTAAAGGTGTGTGCAACCACTGCCTGGCTTTGTTTCCAGTGTGGCCTTGAACTCACAGAGATCCAGAGAGATCTCTGCCTCCCGAATGATAGGATTAAAGGTATGTGCCACCACTGTCTGGCCTCTATGTCTAATCTAGTGGTTGGCTCTGTCCTCTGATCCCCAGGCAAGTTTAATAGGGTACAATCATTACAGTCTGGGCTATAAAATAAGATACTGCCTCAAAACAAATGAACCCCCTCAAACATCCCCCCCCCCTCAAACAACCCAAAGACATCAACAACAGCAATGAGACAGAAGGGAAAGAGAGAGGGAGAGAGAGAAAGGAGAGATATTATTTTAACTGAAAAGTATTTTCCTATTGAAACAAAATTGGAGGGACATCTATGAAAAACAAATCAACAGCTTTAAGAGGAAAAGTGTTTTAATCAAGATACAAAAAGTTGTTTTAAAACTTAAAACTTTCAAAGATATTTTACATATTCTGTGCAAAAATATTATAGATGCAAGATACAAAGGCAAAGATAAAAGTCAGGAAACCAGAAGTTAAGATTGTGCCTATATCGGATCAGACCTGGGTTCTGTGCTAATGTACCAGTAAACTATAGACCATGTTAATCTTAAATCAAACCATACTCCAAGTATCAGAGTAACCTTTGAAACAAGCAATTAATAATCATATTTAATACAGGATAACCATTCCCAAAATTTAAATACTTTTATTAGCCTTCGGGCCACACAAAACAAAAATGTGACAACGTTTGAAGGCTCTTCTACAATTCCCTGATACTTCCAAAGAGAAGTCCCTCTGTCTTAGCAGCTCCTGTGAACATTTCTCCTCTGGAGACCACAAGAAGAGCACATACCTGCCTCACCAGCCTGACCCTCCTTCACCTTTCACTGAGAACAAGGCAGAAGCTCTCTAGTCCGATCTTCAGGTCACCCATTTGAGAGAACAATCTACTCATTTTTCCACAAAGAATTCTTCCACTAGATGCAGGAATGGGTATTAGGCTAGCACCTCTCAACTGTAGAGTTGTGTGGCTGTGCCTATGGGTGACTGATCCAAACCCATTTGTATGTTATATAATTCAACCATAAATCAATAAAATATAAACACTAAACATGAGATGTATTAAGAATAGATTCCGATTCTTTGGAGAGGCAAGGGGGGATGAAGGGGAGACAATTCTGCATGACATCATAATGCTCCAGAGCTAAACATGGAGCAGCAGAGAGATTCTTGACCTGGGTTTTTTCTCAGGTATATTTTAACCCTTGTTCAGTTAGAAAGAAACCAAAGTCTGAAAATTCACAGACGATATGGGTGTGGCTTACTTAATACAACCCACAGAGCTGTTAAAACGATGAGCATGCTGCTAAGGGTCAATGGAAAATAAACAGTCCAGGGTACCCTTATGGCATGTCCTCTTAACTGTCCCAGAAAACAGGAGTATGTGGGTCCTAATCATGTCAGGTAAGAGGGCATGCCCTTTGCCTATCAAGTTTCAGTTTCTCATGCAGTCTAACAACATGCAGGGCTTTAATTCTTTCAGATGACCTGGGATCTAGAGGCCAGGCTGTTCTCCTTCAAGTTCTGTATTCCTCAGACCCCAACAAGGCAAAAAGTAAACTGAGGGGGGATGACAACATCTTCCTTTCTTCCCACTCTGTTTACTTTCTGGTCACATCATCCCACGGAGATTTGTGACCTGACTCACAGTTTTCTTTCCACGCAGTCTTTGTCAGGTTCTTAGAGGGGTGTAGCTGTATGGTGGCTCACAAAAACAATAGCTCATGACCAGACTTCCCCATTCCCTCTCAGATCCGCACCTCAATCTCCAGCCACACAATTCTTTATTCTGGAGCCTCTTCCACAGACCACTCTTCCCACCATCACTAACCCCTGGTCAGTCACCACATGTTCTCAGGAATGGGGTGTTGCAGAAGGACCCACAGCCTGTTCAGCCACCCAAACAGCTGCATCCATCTCGTCATTTGTTAACTCAAGGTCTGGGATCAAGACGTTTCTATTTCCAGCCAGTTTTTGGAGGGGCTGTTGAAGCTTTGAAAACTCTGTCAGGAGCCCACCTCAATGATCATTTTTGTATCACTATCTCCCACGCCTTTGCCTTTGTCTTCCCATATTCATGTCACAACCTACAACTATTTGTGTCCAGTTAGTCCACTTGTATCATCAGCTAACAGCGGAAGGGGCCGACGAGGGGGGAAAAAAGTACTTGAAAATCCCCAAGCTGTGGAATTTCTCACTCACTGAAGAATAATGTCATGGTACTCATCACGGTCTGTAATCCTGAGTCACCCCTGAGAAGTGTGGCAATCTGAAGGACACACGTTGACCATCAGTCCTCATAGTTCATGAACTCCAGTCATCACTCAAATCCCCCACTTATGAACTCAATATTTGCAGGTGACTAATATTAGCCATCTCTCTTGCATTTGATGCAAGAAATTTATTCGTATCTCCCTGATACGACAGATCACTTTTCTTTGACATAACAGTTACTTAAATAAATACACCTATTTCTTGTGCTAAATTAACACCCCCAGAAGAATAGTTCATATGTGATTCACTTTTGAAACTACTATCACTGACTGTGGATTCTTCACAGGCATTTACTAAATGTTTATGCAAAGCAAAGGAATGAGATGATGTGACACCTTCTCCCTATGTTTATCATTATAGACACATATAATTCATGGACCACAAAGCTTTACCTTTCTAAAGTATACAATGGAATGGTTTTTAACTAAATTTAAATCTTTAAAAATAACATTTTTATATGTTAATATTATAATTTTATAACATTAATGAAAGTATTTCAACAATCTGGAAGGTTTGCAGATATTAGAGTCCTGAGGAAGAGGATGAGATGGGAGAGTAGAGGATTTGTCTTGAAGGTCTTTGCTTTTCTACCTGCTACCCAGTGCTGCCCTGTCTCCATCCAGCCACAGTCCTTTCTACATCACTGGCTCACCCGCATTCCCAGTATCCATCTGCACGGTCTGAGAACAGGACTTCTCTGTGTTTCATGGTACGCATGTGTTTGGATTGGTGTGTAATGTGCGTGTAGGTGCACATGTGTATGTGGAGAAGAGAAGTTGACGTCAGATGTCTTCTTTAATTATTCCCCACCTTATTTATTAAAACATGGTCTCTCTGATCCAGAAGCTCACTGATTAATCTAGGCTGAGTAGTAAACTCCAGGCTCTGCCTGTCTCCACCGCTTACCCATGTTTACATCACTCCAGTTGGCTTCCTCATAGCATCTGGTTTTCACATGGGTACTGGGGACCAGAGTCCAGTCTTCGTGTTTGCAGGGCCAGCAATTTACCAACTGAGCCCCTTCCCCAGCCCCCAAGTGCCTCAAGGACAGGACTTTAAAAATGACTACATCTAATTTATGAGACTTTTATATCCTCACAGTTACAGAAACTTCATTTACTGTGTCTTTAGCTTCAACTTGTGTCTGCCTAACACCTCATTAGGACACAGAAGAGGGCGCAAGGTAACAGTCTATTTAGACTTCCTCTCAGGAGTCTTAAGAGTCTGAGAAAAGGGCAGGTCATGACATTTACTCTGGGAAAAGCAGTGCTCACAGCACTGACTATTAAAGGGGATTTAAAAAAAAAAAACTATGCTAAGCTGTGAAGGCCTCAAAAGTTTGTTTGTAAGTAAAAGTTTGCCAGAATTTTTTTTTATTCTATATAGAAGTAACATTTTAGAACATGTTCACAAAAATACAATTATGCAAAACTATATACTTTAGTACACACTACTTATGACTCAAACTCTCCAGGGAATCACAAACTGAGAGAACAGATCAAGAGTATGCAGAAGATAATGTGACAAAGAGAAAACATGCGGAGCAGAGCTGAACTATTTAACAAAAGGTAAGCATTCCGTTTCTATTTAGGCAAGCCTTTTATACTTCTCTCTGTTCCTAATTTTCTATGATGGGTCTATATTATTTATAATTTTCTGTTAAGTAGCAAAATTTCATAGATTAGAACATGCCACATATTCAGGCACCCTTGGCCCCCAACACTGATCTAAATGCACTATTAAGTAAATAACGCAAACATGAAATAAACACAAGGAATGGACACATGTATGTTTGTCTTTAGACAAACAGTATTTTCTGAAATATAAAATAGCAATTAAGGTACAGGGATGTTCATGATGACACAAATGCATTTTAATATAAATGCAATAATAGCAAAATGTCTCAACCTGATACAATTAAAATGCATTTTCAGGGTCTCTTATGCACAGTGGAAGATGGAAAGATGAATGGGGACTAACATTCCACTGAGGGAGACCACTAGGCCCCAAAAGCTACCTGCCAAAAAGTGGTATTTGAACACGAGGACAGAGGTTTATCCTCTCTTACCGCCCAAACAAATAGCTGGTGGCTTTAATTAAGCAGCACGGTCCTGGCTGGGCAGCTCAACACAGCGCTCTGGCGTCCTCCTTCCTCTCCTCACTCATCCAAGCAATGCTTGAGAAGAGCTCAGCTCCCACTTACCCTCACTCCCCAAATCTCCAAAGTTTACTCTACATTATTACCTTTCTCTATATCTAAGCACTCCTAAGCTTTGTTTGAAATGAGGAGAGTCTAAAATCAAGGAAGACTCCTGAACTACTATGGATAAATTGTATTTCTCTTTCCCCAAATATCAGAGAAAGAAAGCGGATCAATTTTTAATAGCCCGGGAACCAGTTGAGCTGGAACAGCCCTGGGGAGAGGAACTGCAAAGAGAAAGCTGACATGCCCATGCATTATTAAGCAGTAAATGAGGCTGTCTGTTTGGTGTGGGCATGCTGACAGCACCGAGCTCTTTGATGTTTAAACGGAGAAGCCCGAGAACTGCTTGATTCACTCGCATACACACATGTGACACCAACACACGCTTGGCCGTGCTCTGTATTAACCTCTTGGTTTTCTGTGTAAAAAGTCTTTTCATTTTCAATTTCTTTTTCTAGAGGATTAAAGCCAGGGAAAGCTACCTCTCCCCTGGGAACTCAATGTCAGCAAAGATATACCTCAAATAGGCTTCATGGGGGCAGGGGGAGTCCTTTCAGACACTGAACGCAGAGGAAAGGAAGCCTTCTACTCCCTCCAAATTATCACAGTAAATGGTGTGCTGAGGAATTACCATATCCTGAGCAGACACTCTTTTTGTTTACTGTTTGTTTTCTTAGATCTTCTTGGTGCTTTGAGCTAATGACTCACTCATTAGTCTAGGCTGGCTTTGAACCCATTTAGTTCACTATGGCCCTCCACTACATGGCAGCCATCTTCTGGCCTCTGCTTTGCAAGGGCTGGAAGTGCAGGTGTGCTCCAGCATGCCCACTTCAACTGACTTCCAATCCAGGGTTACTTACTTATTCATGTTGACACAGTCACGCTCTAACTCACGTTAGCCTACAGCTCAGAGACAGAAGGCTGACCTTGGAACTTACGTGAACTCCTATTGTCTCAGCCTCTCCAGTGTGAGAATATAGCCACGTGCCAATGCACACCTAAGTAGGAGTTTTTCTTAAGACCCAGTTTCTTTTCCTTGCAACTGCTTCTATTCTGATAACCAAGTCTAAAGCCTGTGCTAATCATTACAATTTCTTGGGAAACTGACATTGTTCTGTAGTGATGGTCATTGTTGTATTTTTCTGATATCCTTTGAAATGTTTCTTACTTTTTTTTTCTTCTTGGCACAAAGACAGAGGAATGAGAGCATCACTTGTGCGAAGAAAAGAAAGCTTAAACCTGGAGCAGAGAGGCACGGCTACTCTCACCACTGCTTGAGACCCTTTTCTGGCTTTCCGATAAATGTAGAGGAGGATGGGGTGGGGTGGCCGTTTGGACAGACCAGTGATCAACCACCCCCTTGCTTTTAATTTTACGGTCTGGAAGATCAGCTTACGCCTGCTTCTTCCTCATAGCCCTAACCCTCTCCCAGCCTTCTACAGTGCAGTGCTTGGAAATGCTGTTGGGCCCATCTACCAAACCAGGTCGGGATGGGCAACAACAACAACAAAACCCTGACTGCATGGCTTAGCCACGGTGCAGCCACAGTGACCTTAGGAGGTCACACAGGAAGCAGTGTCACCTGGACAGGCTGCCTTCAATGCCTAAGGCCTGCTGCCCGTTCAGCTTAGGGGAGAAACTATTCCACAGTTTTATTAAGACCATTTCTGGAGGTCGTTACAATTAGTAACAGGGTGCAACTTTTTACAGTCTATAGAATAACTCGGGGAAACAAATTATTAAGTTGTTCTAAATCAAGTAATTATCAGGGATAGAGAAAACCTGAGGTTATATATGATGAATGAATAAATGGAATATATGTTTCAATTTCCAGGAATAAATTGGCCATCTGTTTACCCTAAAGAGATAGAGATGTAACTAAAGACTGATACAGAAGGAAACTCAGAAGCACATTGCCATTGTTACTGTGTTATTTATAGAACTTTGGCGACAAAACACAGTGTGACACATACAATACTGGTCTCCCCCAAGGTTCCATTTCCACATCACCTAAATGTAATGACGTTATATTAGGTGGTAGAAAAGAATTAATGTTTTATACAGAATCAAGGCTGCTAAGCAGATGGCACAGTGTTGAGACAGATTAGCCTGAATTATCCAGGTGGACCTCACCAAATCACAGGGTTTTCCCATGTTCAAGAGGAAGAGAGGGGAGTCAGAGGGCATGTGGCTATGAAGACAAGGACTGCTACCTCTGAAGACAGGGATGGGGTAGGCATGAGGCCAGTGAGGTTGAGGTAAAGAAATGGATTCTCCCCGTCTTTAGGCTGGAATGCAGTGCTCCCAAGATAACAAATCTTTGCTTATTTTGAAACCTCTGCCGGGTTTCTGATATACAGAAGTATACGAGAAGGAATTGGTAGTATTCTGCAGCAACAATAAGAGAAACCCCATGTATCCACTGATAAACCTGCATTATAGGGCTGGCTACCCAAATTATGGCTGACCCATACAAAAGTACTACACAGATAGTAAAGAGACATTCTGTGACAGAATACTATCAAGTGACTTTAATGCTGTGAGTCCAAGTACATATATACACTCAAAAATAAAATCCCATCCATGAGAAGTGGGATTTCAAAAAGATATAAAATCTTCATGTTTTTCATATTTTAACAACATAAAGTACTCAAGTTGTTAAGAATTCTCAAAGGTTCAAGCATACTTCTTTTGGGATCTAACTTCAGGATACATTTAGATGGCTGTGTCTGAGGCTCTGCCAATGATTACCTACCTCTGGAAGACTGAACTTCACTGGCTCTGTGATGACCACAGCCATGGCCTGTCGTCCACCACAACTGCCTCTCGACTAAGACTTCAGCACTGAGCTCACGACACATAGGCTCCCCTCTTGTTCGTAACTGCATATTCCCAACCTTATACAGATAAAACTTTCTCCAGTTCATGGCTCCTATATGAAGCATGAATAGTTTTCTGACATGTCTAACCTGAGGCTCACAGATGGAGCTATCCAAGGATGGCTATGGGGTTATTTTGTTATTAAAACAACAACAACAAGTGCAGTGGCCCAGTTCTTGAGTGTTAACTTTGTAGATGACACTACCATGCTGCAATGCCCAAAGGCTAGGCATGGCTAGTAGATGGAAGAAGGTGGGAGATTTACAGGTATTAATATCTTTAATTTGTTACTTAATTTCCTTTCTTCTTCAGACAATGAACTACAGATGCCCTAGATTACACCATCACTTCAGTTTTACACATTAGAGAGCTGTAGGCTGGGAGAGGTTAAGAACTTGTCTGAAGTTAGGAATGGTCAAGGCACATTCCCTAAGTCACACTTCTAAAATCTATGTGAGGTTACCTACAACCTCATCTATACATTCTGTATATGAATGTGTAGCTTTATAATTGGCTTGATCATCACTATTCACTGCGTCTGGCTCTTTTTTTATTTTTTATTTTTTTTTTTTTAGTATTTGCACATACCACTGGAGAACTATCTTTTCTTGATAAATGAGTTTACCTGAGTAACATAAATATGGGCTCCTGAATAGTTTAATCAGTGTCCATTAATTCAGACATACATTCTTCTCTCCCAAAGACAAGAGAAAAATCTACCAATATTGGCCTCAAAAATTTGCAAACCACCAAAGAGAACGCACCTTCCTGCAGCTTGCATTTCTCTATCTCCACACAGTGTGCTATTAATACTGTAAGCTAAAGGGGCCCTCGCTGAGAGCATCCAGGCTACCGCTCTGACTCTCATCTGCAAGGCGACCAGATTATCTTTTCTCAATCTTGCAGCATCTCCCATCCCAGGTCCAGAGGGAGGAGCTGACTCATGAATGGTGTCACCACCCCCCCGAGGAGATCCACAGAACTCCCCATCCGTTCCAGTTCCATGACACATGGCCATGTAAGCCTGTAATTCTAGAACGCGGAAGGTAGAGACGGGAGAGCTGTAAGTTTGCAGCTAGACTCACCTTCAAGGTGAGACCTGCCTCAGGAAGGCAAGGGGATGGGGAGAAAAGGAGGAAGAAAGAAGGCCTTTGCAAGAGTGGGGAAATTTTTTTCTCTACAAGGAGGGCACACGCCAAAGGTGAACAGGAAAGAGTTATACTAAGCAGTTGTAGTACACTGTTCTCTGTTTACAAACCAAAGTGATAGGCAACATCTGAGAAATGAGCAAAGGAATGCAAATCCTGGCATCGTGCTGGTAAGTTACCAAAACACAGGATGAGAAACAAAGTTTTAAACTTAATTGATTCTAATTCTATCAATGTAGTTTCAGTTACTCTAAAATCAATTAACCCGCTTCTTTATTGAGATAAAAATACCACGGTAAATCAAGATTTTGCATGATCTCTGCTGGGAAAGGACAGCCCATTGAGTGGGAGATGCTTCCTTAGAGAAAGATGGCACATGCCACAAAGTTCACGGTCACTCCAAATGATTAGTGATGCTCAGAGTGGAAGATGGGGTGGGGAGGTCTGTCAGAAATGTTTATTCGTGTTCATTTCATAGAAAATAAGTTTAAAATTGCATTTCTTTCCTAGTAAAACCCATGTTTAGTTTAAAAGTAAGAAGAATAGCTAGAAAAACTGACTTTTTGTATGTTAAAAATTATATCTTTTTAGAGAGAGAGAGAGAGAGAGAGAGAGAGTCAGAGGGATGATCTAGTTTGAAGTTTTCACTTTCAAATTACAAACGGCACTTTATACATTTATTTCAAGCCCACCCAATGCTATTTTCAGATTCTGTAAATAACTGAAAATATTGTTTCAATTCTGAACGGAACTGGTAAAACAAATGCATTGTTCTTATTGAACAGTAAACTAAATGCTACAAGTAATCAGTGTATTGGTACCATAAATATGAAAAAAAATGGATCTAAGCATCACAGTAAGATTTTCTTAGAACATCTTAGCACATGCAGCGAGGAGTTAGAGCATCACTACAGGTACTCAGTGCATTTGCCTTTACAAACAGTCAGAAAATACTGCAACCCAAGTCTTTCATAACATCAGGCTATGCACACAGAAACAGCAAACCAGTCATGGATTCTGAAGGCCTTGAAAAATGTTCAAACTGCCAATTTAAATATGCCTATATTAAGATGAATTTCCATTTTGCATAATTCTAATTCATTGGATGCTGGTTCTCCACATGATGAATCCAAGGCACAGCCCACTCAGGAAGATGATGAGTAGAAGCAGACATCACCATTTTCCTTGATTTTTTTTCTGTGATCTGCTTTTAAGGAAAAGTTTACCCAATCCCAGAAAAGAATATTTGAAGGGCATAAAATTCACCTTTGAAAATAGTTTCTTCCCTAGGTTCATTAATACAGCTTGAATTGTGGCATTTTAAAACTGGTTCAAATATACAAGACAGTTAAAAATTCCAACTGTGAATTTAGAAGGAAAACTAAAAGGAAACCCATCTTTCATGGGTCTTTGCAATACACATCCCTGTTACAGTCAAAAGCAGCCCCAGCCATCACCCAGTTCAGTACTGATTCTTAGCAGATAGTCACAAACATATAGCTCTCCAGGTAATGTTTCTGATAAACACCAGCCTTGTAAAGATTAGTAAATAAAGCAAGGGAAGAAAGGAAATATAGAGAGAAAGAGAGCAGAAGAGAAAAAAGGGAAGGAAGAAAAACAAATGAAATGAGGATGAAAATATGGTATGCTCACACACACAAAAATTGTCTCACACTACCAGGAAGCTGGCAAGAAGTGCCCTGTAATGATGCTGAAGGACACGCAGAGCACTGCTAAAGCAGCTGAAGCCACAGCCAGAACCCCGGAGCTCTGGCAGGTGGTGGGTCTACCATGGCCTGGTGACCTTGGGATGGTGCTAAACTGTTAAAGTATTTTCCAAAGAGAAATATAAAGTCTACAAGAAAATAACAATGCTCAATGGGCTTAAGAATCACCCTAGTTGGAAGCTCTTGATTATGGGGAAACCTCTGGAATACGAGACATACTATAACTTTTGGTCCATCTTATTGGGACTTTTTATCATTCTCATTATTTAAAAAGTTGGTACCCCCAGATCGAATGTGTTATCAATCACTTTAGAAGAAGGTGAGGATGCTCTTGTCAGCTTGCACAGATGGTGTAGCAGGTCAGCTCATGTGAGTTCACAATTTCAGAGTCTCACTCCAGACCCTCAATAGGGAGCAGGCAATTCCCCCTGCCTGCCTCCAGCACAGAAGAGAGAAACAGATATATGCCAAGCAGATGTTTGATGAAGATATTCAGTGCTTCTATAAGGAACTGTTGAGGATTACAGCCCCTGTGAAGTGCAGTGCTGTGTGGACAGAAATTCTCCATCTGCTCTTTCCATCTGGCGCGAACCGGCCATATCCAGCTCATGAGAACTGGAACTGTGGCTGAGATTTTATTTAATTCCATGTTTTATTCATCGTCATTAAAACTGCTACATGTGGCAAACAGTATAGAGAATTGATAATTAACTGACCAAATAGTATCTTCATTTTGCAGAAATGAAAACAAAATATTTTTAAAACAATTTCTCCCTCCTCCTACAATCATTACTTACATTTTGTCACAGTGTTGAATTTTCTAGTGAATATATTTATATATCACAAACTGCATACATATTTGAATACATATACATCCAATATATTGACATTTTGTGTTATGCTATAATAAATACATGTGGGTTTGCTACATGTCTGGCACACAAACAACTGACAGGCATTGGGTGTTATTAATTTCAGCAAGCATTAATGATCACTAAGTTGTAAGAACACTCTCATCTTGAGAAATCATTATAAAACTATCATTTTTATAGATTAGCTTTTTAAATATGTATTTGTATTTTATTCACTTACTTGTAGAATACTACACTTGGAT